AAAAAATAGAAGCAAGGTAACATTTTGTTCGTTTGGTCCCAAAATTAAGATTGAATTCAGTGAAAACAACAGAAAATGTGAACAAATGTACCCAAATTTGGCACTCAAAGGGTAAAAGTAAAGGGTCGTCACCACTTGCTAATTTAGTTTTATGCCATATTCAAGATGGCGGCCCCCATATAGTAAATATCGCATTTATTTTATTATCCCGAGTGCGCCAGCTGACTGTGGTTGTCACCTGCTCACATGAGAGAATTGAATCTTAAATATATGATTGCAATGCATGCTAAAAACACATAGGCTCATGCATAGGTGGCAATTTCCCGCTTTCATATCAACTTTATTTCTTCATAATGAGGGTATCATAAAAATTATGTCATATCTTACTTGATCATTGTGTGTATATTCATAGCCTTCATGCTTGCATTCATGTGATCTCACTAGTAAATCTAAATTATGTTTAGCTAATACTTTTTTGGTTATGTCCGGACCAAAATAACTTCCACCTCCACGGAAGGTGTTTGGTCTGCATCCTTCTTGGTTTTTGGGATCACTCCATAGGATGTCCAGGATCTGAGCAAACAAAAGGAATATTCAGTATCTGATGCAAAGAATTATTGCAATGAACTATCACTCCTGACATTGTTGGCAAATCTTTTTTGTTTCCTTTATTAAATTTTAATAAAAATAATAAAGCCCATAAAACATGACAGAAAGAATAAATGAATGGTTACCAATAGAGTTGTTGATATGTAATGTGTCTATATACCTGTCTCCATTCTTGGACATCCACTCTACCTCTCGGTTCTTCATCATCTGCCTCTGGAGAGTCTGGGTCTATTTGCTCTACTGACTCATCCACAGGAGGTCTAAGAGCCGATAAATACTGCAAATAATGGCACAAATGTGACAATTAGTTTCACCAATCACTACCATGGCTTTAAAAGTAGTGACCAATCCCCACCAGGTTTTAATACTAGTGACCAATCACTATAAGGCTTTAATAGTAGTGACCAATCACCACCAGTCTTTAATAGTAGTGACCAATCCCCACCAGGCTTTAATAGTAGTGACTAATCAGCACCAGGCTTTAAAAGTAGTAACCAATCACCACCAGGCTTTAAAAGTAGTGACCAATCCCCACCAGGCTTTAAAAGTAGTGACCAATCCCCACCAGGCTTTAATAGTAGTGACCAATCCCCACCAGGCTTTAAAAGTAGTGACCAATCCCCACCAGGCTTTAATAGTAGTGACTAATCACCACCAGGCTTTAACAGTAGTGACCAATCACCACCAGGCTTTAACAGTAGTGACCAATCACCACCAGGCTTTAACAGTAGTGACCAATCACCACCAGGCTTTAACATTAGTGACCAATCACCACCAGGCTTTAACATTAGTGACCAATCCCCACCAGGCTTTAAAAGTAGTGACCAATCACCACCAGGTTTTAATAGTAGTGACCAATCACCACCAGGCTTTAAAAGTAGTGACCAATCCCCACCAGGCTTTAATAGTAGTGACTAATCACGACCAGGCTTTAACAGTAGTGACCAATCACCACCAGGCTTTAACATTAGTGACCAATCCCCACCAGGCTTTAAAAGTAGTGACCAATCCCCCACCAGGCTTTAAAAGTAGTGACCAATCCCCACCAGGCTTTAATAGTAGTGACCAATCCCC